TCGCTGCAGATATTAGTTTAATAAACAAGTTTCATGCAACATATTATGAAATCATTTAACTTTTGGCTTTGGCCTAATTTTGTAAGAACACTACTCCAGGTAATCCTCAACTTACGACCACAACTGAGCTAAAAATTTAGGTGCTAAGTGAGACATTTGTTAAGTGAGTTTTGCTCTTTGTTATGACCTTTCTTGCCACAGTTGTTAAGTGAATCACTGCAATTGTAAAGTTAGTTACATGGTTATTAAGTGAATCTGGTTATCCCACTGACTTTGCTTGTCAGAAAGTCGGAAAAAGGCATAGCGTGACCCAAGACATTGCAATTATCATAAATAGGAAATAGTTGCCAAGAGTCTGAATTTTGATCATGTAAATGTGAAACGCGATCATAAGTCACATTTTTTAGTGCCATTGTAACTTTGGTCCCTAAATGAACAGTTGTTAAATCAAGGACTGCCTGTAATTGGATTTAACAAATAGTTATGTCCAGATTTGCCCAAGCATGTATGATCTCCTACTGTCTGACCAGAAAGTTTGTCCCAAATTGTCCAGGATGGAGGCAATGAAATTATAGGCATTAATTAGGAAAAAGAGGCATCAGCATTTCCTAGCTGTGTTTTCCATAAAAAATATCCTGCCTGTATGGACCTGAGATTCAGATGGTTAGGGGTTTTTTTGGTGGCTTTTTTTTTTTTGTAAAAAAAAACCAGATGTATTAATGCTGGCTTAGTTTATACAGAGTTATGAAAATTTTACATTGGTGTGGCAAACGTTGGTACATTCCAATGACTGTCTGACTCTCTGCCTAATTAATATATTTTTTTTGACTGATGAATTTACTTGGATGAGTAATGAGAACGTCTCAGATTAACAAGCTTTGGTCCAGTTGCCATGATTTAACCTTTTTTAGATACTTTTGGCCGGGATGATTGAGTTTTCATTGACATATTTCAATACATTTTGGAGAGAAACCCCTGCAGTTGGTTTGGCAAGAGTTGGTACATTCCAACGACTGTCTGATTCTCTGCCTAACTGATTTCTTTTTATTTTGACTGATGAATTTACTTGGATGAGTAATGAAATGTCGCAGATTAACAAACTTTGGTCCAATAGCCATGATTTAACCTTTTTTTAGAGACTAGGCCTGAAGCAGTCTTGAAAAATCAAAAGCCTCCACCATTTTTAAAGCACTGGGCCCTGTATGAAATTGCAAACTGGTGACACTGCACCAATATTTGAGGTATGAAATCATATATTTCTGTAATATCCTAAGTCTGCATAAGCTAAACCAGCATTGATACATCTATTGTTGTTGGGTGGGGGTTTTTTTTACAAAAAAAATATTGAAATATAATGATTGAGTTTTCATTGACATATTTCAGGCCTAGTCAGTTCTAGTGGGCATAAACAAAATAACTGATTTAATGAGTTGCTCCGTGCTAGAGGAGCATAGCTTAAGTTGTGTACTGTATATTGTGTTTTGCTAAGTAAAAAAGAAACCAATTGGGCTCCAGTGCTGCGCAGCTCACCCTGTTGACCCACAACAGAGCCAGTGAATTTCCTAACAGCTGTAATGGCTGAATTCCTGTCGCAGCAAAGGCATTTTCCAATACAACCTTGATTACTACAGCTTTAGTCTTAGCTAAGTTTACATGAAGATTAAGCCTTCTTGGGCAAAGTGTAGCTCATTGCCAGATTAAGCTCCGGGCTGGTGCTCGGCATGAACTTAACCGCCTCTCTAGAAACTATTTTGGCCCATAACCGCTGAGAGTACAGGTAGTCCTCTATTTACAACAGTTCGCTTAGTGACCAAAGTTACGTCAGTGAAAAAATTGACTTATGACCATTTTTCACACTTACGACGGTTGCAGCATCTCCGTGTCATGTGACCAAAATTCAGATGCTTGGCAATTGGCATGTATTAATGACAGTTGCAGAGTCCCAGGGTCATGTGATTCCCTTTTGTGACCTTCTGATAAGCAAAGTCAATGGGGAAGCCAGATTCACTTAACAATCATGTTACTAACTTAACAACTGCAATGATTCACTTAACAACTGTGCCAAGAAAGGTTGTAAAATAGGGCCAAACTCACTGAACAAATGTCTTGCTTAGCAACAAACATTTTGGGCTCATTTGTGGTCATAAGTCGAGGACTGCCTGTGTTAGCTTTGTCAGTGGCCAGGAAAGGTATAAATGAATGAAATAAATTAAAAGCCAGAACCCTCGTTTATTTCTCCTATCAGTAAAGCAAGGCCAAAGGGATACCATCCCATCACCAAATCCACCTCAGTGATGAAGACCACCATCTTTATTTCTGGCAACAACACTAATGCAAAGAGCAGCAATGATGGAAACATTGCGGTGAGTATGAAGCAGTTAGCATAACTGCCAAACCACGCTTTCGCTGGAAGGCCCCAACAGCAATTGGAAGTTTCCAACTGCCTTATGTCATGAAGCAGCAGCCAGTGAGGAAAAGTGAGCTCAGCAAGGTTCATATAAGAACTGTGCTGAGGCTTTTGGATGAAGAAACTGTGCGAATCAGTCTCAGGGTGGGAAGCGGCATTGCAAAGGGCTTGTGATTCAAGGTCAGAACTTTATTTATTTTTTAAATATGTTTTATTAATTTTTTTTACATAATCACCTGAATATTTGGTAAATATCGCGTTGTCTGGGTTTATATTTAAAAAACAATAACAATCAGTTTCTATAATTCTCTAGTCCACATAATAGCTTTGCTTGACGTTCTCATGTTCCAAAAATCTTCTCTTTTGCCATCCTTGAATTAATACAATTCTTATTATTTGGATAAATAACAATTAAATATAGACATTTGTTCTAATATTTCTGTCAATAATATTGACACTGATATAAAATTTCTTTTCTAACTGATCATCTTGATTGCCTTATAGCTAGAGGCCATGTAGATCTTTGAAAGAAGCAGGAGGTACAAGAAGAGTTCTGCCTTAATCTCAGAAACAGGAAACATTGACATCTATGAGAGAATTGCAATTGAGTTTGGAAATCAGAAGTTTTACTTCTATGGAATAGAGAACTGGACCAAGACAAAGGTGCTATAGTTCAGATAAAAGCTTTTGTGGTATACAGCACCAGGTCTACAAGTGTTCAGTGTTGAGGATGTTCAACTGCATCCATCAGGAGGTAAGTCATGGCCATTGATCCAATAGTCAAACATGGTGTGAAGCATCTGTGCAATCCAGTGGTAAAGAGGCTGGCCTCAGTGAATTAATAGCTTGCATTTCAGGGCTCCTATCATGAGGTGTTTAGGGAGATTCTCAGTCATCCAGGTCATAGTTGTCCCAAAGATGGTTTTTCATGAGGCAACTTCATTGTTTTTCTTTGAAGATGTTTCGCTTCTCATCCAAGAAGCTTCTTCAGCTTTGACCAGTCTCCATCATCCAGTCAGAGCTGCAAAAACTTCTTGGATGAGAAGTGAGACGTCTTCAAAGAAAAATAAGAAAATCCAAGTGACTCATGAATTTGGCTTGGGAGACTTGATGGGAGATATATCTGCAAAACTGTCTGGCAATATAATCCCTGCTCTATACGTTGGCAACTACAGGTAAATGAGAAGCCAGATCCAATCTTGATCCACTACATGTTAAAATGTTTATTTTTTTCCCTCCCAAAGGTTATGAGAAATGCAGCTAACAATAGTCCATTTTAGGAAAGTGTTTTTTATCAATCACATTAATTTTGAAGATGAATACTAATTGTTCTCACATGTACTTAAGTTCTATTTACAGTGCTGTTATCTATTCTCTTTACAGCCTGATGTTACTGCATTTGATTGCATCTGACACATTCATCGCTTGTTTTGTATAAAAATCAGGCATACATCAACCACGAATGAAGGCAAATATACATGTCCCAGGATAAAGTTGCAGGATCCAATCTGGGTTGGTCACTGGGACCAGAGGTTTAGTCTTCTGAGCTTTCAGACTTGTGCTGGTGCCCATCTTCAAGGAACTTCTCTCTAGCAGAGTGTGTGTAGTATTTATACTATCTGTTGTAAGTGGCTTTTTTTTAAAAAAAGATGTCGATTGGGGTGCGTTGATGGCTGGTGTTTAAGTCATTAGCTGTCTTTTATTTGTGATGCCCAGCCCTCACCTTGTAAGTACTTGATAGGCTGGTGGTAAATCAGCACTCCTATCAGTCAATACCAGCCTATTTACCACCAGCTTATCAAGTACTTACAAAGCAATGGATGGATGGATGGATGGATGGATGGATGGATGGATGGACGGACAAAATAAGATAGACAGATCTCTGAATTCAAAATTGTGTCATCTACCTAGCTTAGAGAGAAAATGCAAATATAAGAAAGCTGAGGGAAAGTAGTAAAGCAGTAAAAGACTACTAGGAAAGGAGAACAGAGACAGGGAGAAATAGAACCGAAATTGTATTGACGTGCAAATGTAAAGGAAGCAAAGTGGTGTGGGGACAAACAAAGCCATACCACATCAAGCTAAACCAGGGTCTTGAGAAAACCACAAGTTTCTAAATTTTTTTCCACTTTTTGTTACTACTATTTATAATCTTTTAAAATTCTGCCTCATCCATACTCCTATATTAATATGTTTTTGAGGTTTCAAATGTTGAACGTTAAATACTTTTCAGGAGTGAAAAAAAGGTGGACCTGTCAGGCCTCACAAAGAACAGTTGTAAATTTCAGTTTTCCAGACATTAAATCCTCATTCTGGCAGAAACATTCTGGCAGATACTAGGCAGAAGTCTTGCTGACAGAACTTTTTCTGAATTAATTTCTCTATCACAGACAAGGATGAAGTTATACAAGGTGACCTTGTTTAACAACCACAATTGGGACCAGCAACTCAGTTGCTAAGTAAAGCAGTCACTAAGTGAAACCACCACTGGGCTTATGATCTTACTTTAGCTTTCTTTTGCTTTGCAGATCTGCGAAGATTGGCAATGTGAGGATTGGCCACAAAGCTACTGTTTCATCAGTGTCATAACCAAGAATGAATTGCTAAATGAGTCAGTCACTAAACGAGGGATTGGGAAGCACCTGTTCAAAACTGACATAACTTTAGTCCTGTCTCACATGACAATAGGTTTATGCCAGTTTAATCCTTTACAAATAGGAACATTGTGTTCACAGAAAAGGGGACGGAGGTATACTTTTTCTAGGAGAGGTATCAAAGAAGAAGGCTTTGATCTCTAAAGGAACAGTCCAGTCAAATGGAATTTTGCAGTCTAAGGTGACAAAAAAAAAGTCAGATGTCGGGTGCAAAAGCTTTATCCCCTTTTTGTTAACATGCAATTTATAGCAGGGTGACTTTGGACAGGATCAGGACAGAGTCACTTTCTCAGCCCAACCCACCTGACAGGGGTGTTGCTGTGGGGAAAATAGAAGTATTAGGTATGTTTGCTGCTTTGAATTGAACCAAAAATATTTTTAAAGTCAAAATACTTTTTTTATTATGGTTAGCTTACTGATTTTGTATGCATCAGTAAGCCTTCATATTATATTATCTTAGTTCTTCATTGTCCTTCAGATATTCTTAAGTGCCTTTTTTGTTTTCTTTAACCTTTGGTGTGCTTGCAACATTCCACATCCACCCATTTTCCTTCGTAAGTAGAGTCTGTCATCATTGCTGCCTGGATGAAGGGCATGATTTGTTGTCATATTTTTCTGGTCTTCCCATTCAGGGCCTGCTTGAGTCCAGTCCACTGTTCCAGCTTTGTATCTAATGATGGGAATTGCCCAGAGGCTGATCGCTTCGATAGTATTTCCTCCACTGAGTTTGGACTTTGGGATCTTCTTCACTCTTTTGATGTATTTACTTCCAACCTTTTCCTTGAATTCAGAATGCTTGATGTTATCACCTTGAAGGATGCTCACATATTTATAGTGATCATCTTCATCCAGACTCTTGATGTCGTTTCCACAGGGCATCTTGATTCCTTCAGTTTTCACTATTTTTCTTTGTTTGATGGTGAGGGTGGCACATTTGTCCAGTCCAAACTCTACTGCAATATCTCGGCTGTATATACGGACAATGTTAACTTGCGATTCTATTTCAGCTGGTGTTTTTCCACACAGCTTCAGATTGCCCATGTAAAGGAGGTAGAATAGTTGGAAGATTTTTCTGATGTTTGAGAGACATGGCCTGAGTTATTCAGTATTTTTGATAGAGGAATCAGTGCGGTGATAACAAATCTTGAAATATTCCTACCTTGATATTAGCCTCTCCCAGTCTCTCATCACTGACCAACAATGTCTTCCATTTTGCCATAGATCTTGAACAAAGCTTCTCCTCAATCACTATTCTCAATCACTATTTTTAAATGGCAAAGAAATATTAGGACTCATACTTCATTTGTTTTAACAGCAACAGTATTAAACACATGGCATATAAAAATCATGGTGCCAAGATTACTGCAAGTTCTGATGACTTTCTTTTAAAAAAGCAATGATACAGTTATTATTTTCTGCATTATTGTTTTATCAATTTAAGCTTAAATAATATAAATCTGACCTTAGCATTCAGAATCACAGAAATATTGACCATATTCAGAATGAAACAAAAACAAATCAAAACATTTACTCTGTCTCCACTACGATCCGTGGTTGGGAATTGTCACTTTCTTGACCACGATACCAAGTGACCTTCTTGCACTTCACACCTAGATACTGCAAAAGAATAAACACTGTGTTGCAAAATTGATTTGATTTTTACTACCAAATGTTGTATGATAACTTTTCTATGGAAAAAAACATGTAATGCCTTAAAAACTTTATCATTTACCTTCTTGACGTAATCATCTGTCTCCTCCTATTTGCTTCTTGCAGAGGCTGAAAATTGTTAAACAAATGTTTTAGAACGAGGTAGAGTCATCAACTGAAACATGTCTATTTCTCTCCCAGAAGTGGAAGGACAAAACTCACCAACAATTTTCTCTCCGAGTAAGGTATAGACAGCAGCTGGGAGCAGATGGCATCGATTGCCCGGTCCCGAGCTCTCATGAGGTCTCTTCTCCTCTCCCTCTCTCTTGAGACCTCCTGTTAAAAGAAATTGAGCAAGTACAATTAATACATTATAAAATCTTGCTTACAGAGGTTGTTCTAACTTATGACTATCATGTAAGATTCTTACAGTGTTGACTCTGCTGATTGCCTTCTGGTACTTGTCGTATTTCTCCTTTAATTCCTCAACCTCCCTCTTCTCTCTGTCAGCATTTCCTGGCAAAAAAAATACCCAAAAGAACTAGAACTCATACAGCCAAGATGAATACATCATTTTTGTTTTTAAAATGAAAACAATTACAATGTTGTTAAGTTAAAATAATACTCACTTTCTGGATCAAGATTTATTAAGTGCTTCAGTTCCTCATTCTGCTTCAGAAGCTGGACCAGTTCGCTGGCTAAGCGCTCGTTCTCCTCTTCCAACTAAGATGCAGAAATTAAAGGAAGCATGCATCAGTCATCAAATATAGATACGCAGACAAAAAGAGGGGCTTAAATCAGGATTGTAAGGGAAATGAATGACTTACAGCTCTTATGGTGGATCTTTTTCTGCCAGCTCCTCCTGTGAGGATGTCACCTCTTCTATCTGCTTCTGTTCTGTATTTTTATGGAAAAACACTTGTGCTGTTAAACAATATTCCCAAAAGACATCACATATTAACCCACCAATGCTGAAATTTAAACTAGTCATTTCTTACTATCACATAAGATACTTACTGTATTCACTCTGTTGATTGCTTTCTGGTATTTTTCATATTTCTTTTTTAGCTCCTCATAGTCCCTTTTATCATCACTGTCAAAATAGACAGGCCCTGGCAAAAAAAATAATAAAAGAACTAGAACTTGTACAACCAAACCTGAGGATAAAGAGATGACATTCTCAATTTTGACTTCCCGAAGTAGACAGCCATCAATTGAAACATGTCTATTTCTCTCCCAGAAATGGAAGGACAAATCCTACTGCCATGGTCAGCCATTTTTCTTCCTTGGAAGGGAAGGTCTTGTTTCTTGTTTCAAGACCTATAAAAAGAAATTGAGGAAGCCCTGGGGAAAAAAACAGGAAAAGTTGAGTGGGGAAGAAACGGTTTTTCCCATTTGTTTCCAAAGCAGTTTTCCGGGTTTTTTCCAGGCCTTCCCATCTCTAACCCTCAATGCCTAACCCCAACCCTAACCCACACTCCACCCAGGGCACCCACAACCACAGTGGTGATGTACAGCAACCATTTATTTATTCAGTTTATTCAAAAACAGTCATGTCATTTTCTGAAACATCTTCACACTCTCCCAAACCCCAAATTCCAGCCTTCACCTCTTGCGACTCCAGTTCCTTTAGAACCATTGGCTCCAATCTCTCATGTCCAGCAATCGCGGTCTCCCTAAATGAACACTTCTCGTCCATGTAGCCTGCTTGTAGTGCATTGGCAACACAGCTGCCAGTGATTTTATCCCACGAATGCTTCGCCCAAGTCACGACCTCTGGCAGGCTAGGCTTCACAAAGTTCCCATGCTGATTTCTCTCCATTCTGTGTTCAATGTAGTCACTGATTTCCCTGTGCAAGTTCTTGAATGGCTTGTTTATGGCAATATCCAGAATCTGGAGATAGGCAGCCCTTCTTGCAGGAATCATTATTTGGTCAATTCCTCTCTCTGCAAGAAACTTCATATCTTTTGCACGGTGAGTGCTGGCTGAATCCCAAACCAGCAGACCTCTTTGCCCGCCTCACAAAATAAGTGGCAGCATTAAATCAACCCACTTCCTTATCACAGCTTGTGTGCACCAGGCTTTTTCAGTTTCAAGAACATAAATCCCTGAAACATGTTCAATTTTATCTCTCTTGCCTTAGAAAGGATTAGAGGTGGGGCTTTTGTTTCATCCAGAACGATTTGCCAACATGCAGGTAACACATGCCCTTTCATAACGAGGGGAAGGAATGTAGATTGATGAGGAAATAATGGCTGCTCCACACTTTCGCTTCTTGGCATTTCCCCCATCCACCTGTTGGCTGAAGTTACTGTACTCTGCTCGCCATTTTCAACCATACGGAGATCCAACTTGTTCTCTTTGCAGAAAGCTATAAGATTCTTGCCCTGAGAGTCCTCCATGATACCTTTCTTGAACTCGATAGAATAGCTCTTTCATTTTGAACACATCTTGTCTGGTGGGAGGGCAAAATATTACAGCAGTCCCTTAAAATCTTCGTTACCACCACCCAGCTTGTTCCGTAGCCGATTTCCACTGCCGCCAGCCATCTGCTGCCTCAGACATTGTGTTCAATGCCACTGCCATGAGGCTTGGCAGATTCCTCCCATCTGACCCATGTGCCGGTATACTGGTTCCTTACCACCACCCGGCTTGTTCCACGGCCTGATGGCTGGGGCATCGGGTGTGATGCGCGAGGCGGCAAGAAGCCAGGCAGCAGTAGAGAACCAGTATACCATGGGTCAGATCCCCGCTCCCCCATCAACTTTGCCTCGTTGCAGAGGCACTAGAAGCTCCCCCCACTTATCTTGTGTCTCCCCCGCTTACCTTGTGTCTATGGTGAAACCAGGTATAATCAGTGACCAGCCATCTGCGCAGGCTCTTAAGTAGGGCTTACTTTTGGAGGAGGGCTTATATTAGACTCACCCCCCGAAAACTAGCTGAGGCTTACTTTTGGGAGAGGGCTTACTTTTGGAGAAAAACAGTTTATATTTTCCAAGTCTATTTTTCCACACCAACCTACTGTGATTTACAGCCTTTGGAGTGCCAATCCTCCTTAGTATCCAAAGTCTCTTAGTCACCACCAGGTAAAGCTCACAAGAATTTGAGGGGTAGTTAGGAAAGTGGATATATATATTTTTCCACACACAACCTACTGTGATTTATATATATATGGAGGGACCCGTACCTTTTTAATAAAAAGGAGCTCCTGAGTGAGGAGTTTTATTCAAAAAAAAAAAAAAAAAAAACGATGGGAAGAAGTGCCCATACTGCTCCAAATATAACAGTCTTCCCACGTGAAAGGCTTGAAAACTGAACAGCGGGTAAAGATCGGAGAGCTACGTACCTCACTTAGGTCATCTCCTGGATATACACGTACATCCCAAACCGATTGGGACACACATGTAAGGTAGGGACAAGAAAATAGGAAACTTCAGCTTTGCATGTTTCCCCACCCTCTCCATTAGGAAGGTTGCTGGACACCTGGATTTAGGCGGGTGGATCCCTGGTTTAGACAGGAATGAAAAAGTAAAATGCACAGGATTTATATAAAAAAATGTGGACTAAGATATGGGATGAGACTAGTAGTTTAATTTAATCTGGCAAAACAACTTTCAATTGTAATAAAAGAAAAAACAAAAAAGCCTTAAAAGAGCTATTTTCTTGAAAAGTTAAGTTATTGAGTTTATGTATGTTTCCTGGAGTTTAAATTGAAAGACTATTTTACTATCATTGTATAGGTATGCATATTGAGATTTTATGTTTAAAGTAAGAAAAGTTTAAAAAATGGCTTAATTATGCTGTTTTGATGATCTATGAAAATAGTGCATAGAAAGCAATATATTTCTGTCTGTTTCTTCAGTTTACCTGCATTTACCAGCCTCCAAGTAAAAGCTGAAGGCTGAGAAAAAAAGGGGAGGGGGAGACTCTTTAATCCCTCTCCACTTTGCAGCCTATTCTGACCTTTTTGCAACTGCTAAACATTTCTTCCCTCTAAATCTCTTTATGAAAACCAAGCTTTGAGGAATAATCTTTTCACCTTGGCTTGCCTGACTAGCAAGGCAATGTGGAGAGAAATCTTTTTCTCCTTTTCCTTCCTTTTCTTATTCTTTCCCCACAAGCAATGGGTCAAGAGTTCTGTTTTGAAAAATCTTGTGTTAGTGTCTTGGTCAAATATGTTTTCTTGTCTGTAATTCGTTTGTCAATGCTGCAAGGACAGTCCGGTAGATAATTTAATCAGTCCCAACTTTAGTCAGCTGGTTTCTTCAATTAATTCCTGGTTAACTTACTGTTTTACTTATCACATGTGCTAATTAAGAGGAAGAAATTGCAAGCAAAAGCTTGTTTTTCAGTCTGTCTATTAAAAGTAATATTAGCCCCATCTGCCTTTGTATGTGTAAAATGCATTATAAGAGATGAGTGGAATTCATGAGAAGCATAACTGCCATGTTTACAGCTTTGATTTTCATAAATGTATATGCTTTGCGTGTAAGAAAGTTAATGATTTGTAACTGTAGAACAGGGAGTTTGAGAAAGGAATGCCATGTTCTAGAAGAGTGTTTCTCAACCTTGACAATTTTAAGGCATGTGGATTTCAACTCCCAGAAATCCACAGCCAGCAATGCTGGCTGTGGAATTCTGGGAGTTGAAGTCCACATGCCTTAAAATTGTCAAGGTTGAGAAACACTGTTCTAGAAGAGTAGGTAGGATGTAGAGAAGAAGCAAGACAAAGGCTTATACTGTATATATGATCAGTAATAAGGAAGTTTAAGAAACGTGATTCAGAAGATCTGAGGCTAACATATGTTGTGTAGTAAAATTTATATGATTTTTGCATTTTAATCCATGCATCCTAAATAATGCATTTGGAACTACAAAGAGGAAGACTGGCTGTTGCTAAATGTGTGCTAAACTTGTTTTCCTTTCTCTTAAAGCCAAGGAAAAGAAGGTAAACAATTTTGTGATGAGAGCCAGTTTGGTCCAGTGGTTAAGGCACCAAGCTAGAAAATAGAAGAATCTGAATTCAAGTCTTACCTTAGCCATGAAAGCAGTCTGGGTGATTTTGGGCAAGTCATTTTCTCTCAGCCATAGGAAAAAGACACATTTTTGCTTTCCCAACTGTTATTACCTAATATACTATACTGTGGCCTAATCTGCTATGTTGCCTCCAAGACCAATTTGCATTTCAGCCTCTCCCAATAACTCCATAATTTGCCTTGCAGAGGAATATTTCTGCATTGTTAATTCCCTGTGGGCCAGTAAGAAAAAAAAATCTAAAGTTGTGTGACTTTTTTTACCTTTTAGCAAATCCTAAATGGGTCATGAGAGCACTTTTACTATGTTTCAGGTTTACTAGGTTTCATCTTTGTCTTTAACATGGCATCTGGTAAGGGTGAAAGGGGAGGAAGGAAACAGTATTTGATTAAGCCTCCACGAACAGGCATAGTCTATCTGAAACATGAAAAATGCTTCTAACTCTTGGCTTTGAAAACAATACAAGAAATAAATATATTCTCATGTACTTGCCCAGCTTTGCCAGATCTTATTCTGGGTAATTATTACAAATTGGGAATGTATTAGTCAGCTTTACAATTCAAGTAAAGGACAGGCCAATTCTTGCCTTAAGATATTGGTGACTGAAAATAGTTCTATCCTAGTATGGGTGGCAACAGAGCTAAGACCCAAGACGGGAAACCTATCAGATTCTAAGGTTGCAAACAGCCCAAATTACTTAATTGCACTGATCATTTTTAAAGTATTCTTTTAACTAATCTGTGTCCTGCTGACTATGGGAATGGAAGCCACTTTGAAATTAAGCCATTTTTAACCTGACCCTATGATTTGTTGACCCTCATCAAGTCTATGCCCAGCAAGAGAACCTCTCCCCAAGAGAGAAGGTTTGCATAAGGCAATGGTTCTCAACCTTTTTAATGCCGCAACCCCCAACTGGTCGTAAGTCGAGCACTACCCAACCGATCGTAAGTCGAGGACTACCCAACCAGTCATAAGTTGAGGACTTTCCCTGCCCGGGAGCGCCACGCACGCGTAGTGCCACCCCCTGCATCGGCCGAGGCGTAGCTGGCAAGTGGCAGAAACGGCGCAGGCCAACCACCGGCTAGGCCACCACCTGGCCCAGCCCAAGGGAGGTAAGGCACCTGCTGGGCCCCACGTGCGCCAGCAACCCTCCCTGCGCCCGCCGGCCTCCCACCTCCCATCCCTGGTAGTTGCTCAGCAGGGAGGGGTGGAAACTTCCAGACAGCTCACCTTCGCTGCAGACAACTTGCAGCACCGTTTGCAGAATGGGACTTTTGGCGGTCTCAGCAGGGCAGAGACAGCCTGGACAATTCCTATTGGCTTTTGAAAGCCAATAGAATTAGACTCTATTCAAGAGAGTCTATTCTATTGGCTTTCAAAAGCCAATAGAATAAAAGAGAGTAGCACAGCTAAGGAAAAGGGAAAAAAAATGGCGGACTGCGTTGTTTGGCGACCCCCATGAAATGGTCGTTCGACCCCAAATGGGGTCCCGACCCACAGGTTGAGAACTGCTGACATAAGGTGCGGAAAGAAGAACCTGCTTTCCTCCTGGTGGACATAATTGAGAACTACAGAAATACATCTGGAAAAATGCCCAATACTATCGATATGGATCCTGAATGGGCACTCAGTAACAGACTTGGCTCTCCTGGGTGTAAACGTACGGTGATGGAATCCTGGCTCCTCCACGGTAATGCTAACGATTGTCTTTTGATTCAGTAGACTTCAGTAGGAGAAACTGCAGTCACTTCAGGAAGAGTTCTCCAAGCTACTGAAAATGAAACAGCATTGGACTTGGTTAGCTTCGTCAACCAAAGTGCCTGCCTGATGTTTTACTGCATCTCTTTTGGATGATCAACATAGATGCCAAGACCATCCTACCAGATTGTCATTACAGAATAACAATAGAATTGATTGGATCTATACTGGGACTCATAGAACGGGGGGTGGGGGGGTAGTGGGAAAAATTGGATATTCATTTGTATGCTTGTAATTATTGGCATGTTCTAATAGATGCAGTTATTATTGATGTACCATGTATCCACAATGCACATGGGCAAAACAAAGATCTTAAATCAGACATGTCAAACTCGTGACGTTGCGCGACATATTGGAACTTTTCCCCCATAGCCGGCAATGGGGTGGGCGCGGTTTTGTCATGATGTGTCCAGCCGGCAGTTTGACACCCCTGCCTTAAATGAACCTCCATCAAGTGAAACTCCAGGGGAAAACATGAGGAAGACAGGGCGTGACAGATTGTGAGGGTTGTCACTTGTTGGGATAATTGGCCTTGTATTGACACTTTTAAATTAGTTTCCTCCCAGAACATAGGACTGCATAGTTTAAAACACTATATCATTGTATTCCTTCTAACAATATTAATTAATGAACTCTTTTTCCTAAAGATGTTTTTCCCTTATGATATTACAAACAGAGAAAAGGTTTGATTATAAACTATACCCATTAATAGTGTACATATATAAATATATGTACAAGGGATGATTGTGAGAAGTTTTATAACAAAATATATTAAATACATTAAAAGAATCCACAATGGTCTGAGAATCAGTGTCTCCACTAATTGAGAATCAAATTGAAACTAAATTAATCAAGTAAAAATAGCAAATGAGGCAAAATCCTTTACCTAAACTTCCTCAAACTCTCAAATAAGTTAACCAGACCTAATCCACATATCAAAGGATAAACACAAATAGAGTTAATTAAATTAGGTCTCCCAGTGGAACTGCATGTTTACAAGAATATATACCTACTCTCTCTCTCACACACACAAACACACCTCAAGTGTCACCCTAGAATCAGCACATGAACACTTCCACATCCCGGACAAGCTCCCCCATAAAAATCTCCTGCTGTATCCCATCTTCCAGCAGCTGCCCCTAAAGGCAAACTGTTTGCTTTTAGGAATAAGTATTTCTTTCCTCACAGCTTTTTTATTTATTTTTATTTATTTTTATGCTCAAATTGGAACCCCAAATTATTCTTCTGACATTGTCAAGAGTTCAAATGGAATCAGTGATATAAAAATACTATTAAATCTATACCGGTTTCTATCCATAGTTCTGGGCTGATTATCAAAGAAGACATTGCCACATCTATCGTTCTGGTTCCACTGCTATGTGTATTCATGTTAAATTTAAAGGGTTTTTTGGGGGGACAAACAACATAGGATTCAATCGTTTAGAGCCTAGCTGCCCCAAATTCTAGGTCAGGACTTTCATCATATCCTTGGCTCATCCCAGGGATGTGCACTTGGTTTTCATCAGTATATCAATGATCCTACATCCGAAACTGATGAATGATCTCCCCTCAGCAGTTTCATGTTCACCTCTCCTCCCTTATTTCTAATAACTGCTACCACCCACTCAGGAAGTAGCAGAATCACTACAAGTTGCTCTCAACTTCATACCCTTGTAAACAGTCCAGGATATTTTGCTTAATAATACTGAAGCCCCTAGAAATGTAAAAGAACCTAGAAAGGTGCACTTCCCCAACCAGGTCCTGAGACTGTCATCCACCAGGGGCAACCAATTGCTGTTTCTGCGCAAGTCAGAATCCTGACTGGAGAGGGTGCAAAAAAAATAATAATAATCCTTGTCTCTTAAAGTAGTCTTGAGGCCCATCACTCTTTCAACAACTGACAAAATTGCCAAAGAAACTGATAGGGCAGTGATGGCGAACCTTTTAGAGACCAAGTGCTCAAAAACTGGCTCCACCCCCCCACCCCGCCCCCATTCTGCTCCCCCATCCCCCACCCCGCCTGCCCACAGGACCACTCACCTCCTCCAGGACCTGCCACAGATCGCCCATGAAGCCCAGCAGCGCTATGGCAACCACATCCTCTGCCCACGACCTGCAGTATCAACTGCATGATGGGGTGTAAGGGCAGAGTCTTGTCTATGCTGCATGTCTGCCATGTCCTTCACTGCGCTGCTCCATGTCGGCCACACTTGGGGACGACTCTCCTTCAGGGGGGCTGCTGGAGAGGAGGAGGTTGCGGGGGGAGGCAAGGTGGAGCAATGGCATATGTGCCCACAGAGAGGGCTCCAAGTGCCGCCTCTGGCACCCGTGTCATGGGTTCGCCACCACTGCGATAGGGAATGTGTCTGGCCTACACGTGGTGGAGCTGATATAGTGTGCTCCATGTATTTCCTCAGAGGCAAGAAGCTGAAACAAATCCCTGGTAACATCATATGAAACTATCTCAATTACTTCCTCTGGCTCCATGGAGGCAGTAGATGTGCCGTCCTGCGTGACCATAACCATAGGATCAACCCCACGGTTTGACATGGTAATGTTTGTTCTGCCATTTTCCTTCCCAATTCAAAGGCCTTTTCCAACCCACTGTCAACTGTAATGGGGTGAGATACTGCCTTTATGAAAGTTGCTGTTTCTTCTCGGGTGTTTTGTTTGGGCAGAGGGAGCAGTCAGTGATATCAGCAAATGGATTGATTGTCATGAGAACAGGTATATGGGGGAGGAGATAGCACCCATGCATTGCAGCAGTTGTCTCCATCCATCATAGCCAAAAACAGTAGGAAGTGGTGGTGAGGATTGGGGCCATCGACATATTCACTAATTGTCTGCTGGGTGTTTAACCAGGACTTATGGCCAATGCAGTTTAGCATATCATGAGAACAGAACATATACTATTTATTTGTTAATTTAACATATTTAAGAATTGCCCATCTTCACAGAGGGACTCTAGGTATTGTACAAATGAAATATTAAAAATATGAGCCCCATATATAAAGTTTAAAAGAGGCGAGCAATGTTAAAACTTAATTAGGAAGAGGGATTTGAGGGCTCCAAGTAGCCCCATTGTTAAGTCCTTGAGTTAATGGCGAAAGAAGAGCACGCATTTTGTAGCCAACAACTGTTTATTCTTCTTCTGCTCGCTCCAACACAACTCAGAGGCTCGCAGGCCTCTCTCTAATTATATAGATTCCCGGGCAAAAAGGTTACAATGAGAAAGTGGCGCGCTTTTTGCGCCTTGAGCATTAATGCAGGCTGGCTCCACTTAGTCTGGTCCCGGGCAGCTTGCAACATCCCGGGACCATAGCAACGTCCCGAGCCTGCTTTTGCAGGCTCAGGACACAACACCCATGACTGCCTACATCTCTTTGTTCCCCAAGCAAGGCTGCGGAGTCCTGTTTCCCAGCCTTTCTGGAAAGCTGTCCTGTGGATGTGTTTAAATTGAAGATATTAACACAATTCACCAAGAAAGGGTGAAAAGAGTACAGATAGTTTTAAAATATTCAAGTTTAAAAAGTATTCTAAAACAACTTTTGCTTGTTCCTAGATTACTTTGAATATTTCATTATTATAATATATTCTTCATTATTATTATTTTGTCATGTTATCTGTTGTGTTATTTCTTTGACTCCTAAACTAATGCTAGAGTTGCACATGCAAGTTGACAAGTAAATAAATAAAAAAGAGAATCTCTTACCTCAGACAGGAGTTTCCCCAAATAGTATAGGAACATCTCCATCCTTAATTCAATGTCCTAAATTAAATTAAACTAATCCTAAACTAAAGAAATATATTAAATATGATAAATAAATAGTGTGTGCAAACTAAACTAAGTAAACAAGTGTGATATTAAATAAGATAAATACTGTAAAAAAGCAAATACTGTAAAGTAAACTGAACCTAAGCTATGTAAATGCAGTTAAATCAGGGTTGTTTTTTTTTCATAGAACACCCAGAATGGAGTTCCGGCACCTTTTTTGGATGGAACCTTGTAGGGTAGGCAAGGCGGGTTGTATGACATGTGTGAGTTCCGGCACCATTTTTTTTTTTAGAAAAAAAGCACTGAGTTAAATAAAAACAAAACCTGATCTAAGCTACAGGTACTTAATGAGTAAGGAGCGGTACACTCAGCCACACACAGAGGCAAAACTCTGAGTGAACAGCTTTCTTTCAGCCCACCAAAAAGTTTCATTTACTTCTGCTTTGACCTCAAAAGGAAAAGCAAATGGCTGAATGAATGCTATTCAGAATTGTATTTATTTTTCAATATTGGGAGAAATGCGAGTGCAAAATCCTTTTGATGTGTTTGGTAGAATCAGAGGATGGACTAACAAAAAAAAATGCCATAGAAAAATTAGTGCTACTAAAAAAAGCAGGAAGAGTTCTGAGAAATATGCATAGTTTAGACTGAAAAAGTGGTGCATGGTTGAGTGAGCAGAATTGGAAAGATTCTTGCTTTTGTTCCACCATATTGTACTTGCCTACTTCTCTTGGAAAAACACTTCAAGCACAGTATTCATACTTAATTCAGTACCTGCCCTTTATTTTCTGCTTGAGCTGTTGGTATACATATTGCAATATCTTGCATGACCATTATTATTGTGATACAGTGTACTTTTCTTACTCTTCTCCTGCCAGAACAAAGCCTTTTTTATTATTAGAATGACTGAAAATCTATTACATTTGGGGAGCATGTGTGTATTGAGCAATTAAACAGAAAGTATTCATATGATAAGCTGAGTCATGATGATGTCATTATTTAATTCAGACAACACACTTAATCTTAATTATACACGGTGTGTTTATGCAACAATCTAAATGTGTGTTTATTAGCTAATTCAGGGGTGTCAAACTGTCGGCCCGCGGACCGGATGTGTCATGCCAAAACCGCGCCCACTCCATTGCTGGCAATGGGAAAAAAGATGAGAAACGTAGCGACACGACATTGCGAGTTTGACATCCCTGAGCTAGTTTGTGGGACAGAATGTGATACCTATTCATTGTCGCAAGACCTCACAATGAAAATGCTGCCCAATCAATACCAAACTAGGGAAGTCTGGATGGCCAACCATAGCCTGATCAGCTTTTTAAAAAGAAGCTGAAAGCAAAAAGAAAAAACAAAATTATAAAAGGGAGAAAAAAGTAAAAAAAAGAAAGAAACAAAAATATACAAAATGCACATTTACAGACATATATATTTCAATAAATTAATGCCATAATTCATTGCAGACTTCCATAGCTGATCTATAATAATCAATTCTATAAATGGTTTGGAGCCATATGTTTGTCTTTCTAATGTTGAACCATAATTTTTTTGACTCTAAGTCTATTTTCTTTGTCCAAAAGTCAAAGAAAAGGCTGTAATACAACATCTGTTGATAGTTTTTTAAAAAAATCTATTGTTTAAGACATGCAAGCAAAACAAAGCCAAAAAAGAATTGCATGTACATATTTAGAGAATATCTTAAAAAAATTAAAAAGCAAAGCAAACAAAAGGGAATTTAAAAAATCAAATAAAAAGTGCACTTTACAAGCAATTCTCCCTTTCTCCCCCCCCTCCCCATTTCCTCAGCTACTAATTGTTACTTGCATATTTTAATCCTATTTTGGACATTATTAACTCATATCTATTTGGATCATTTGAATTGTAGAAAGCGGTGGCTCAGTGGCTTAATGATGCTGGAAATGGTCTCAGCTCTGACGGTCTGAGCCCTAGCTCTGCGTGGCAGGGTGAGGTCTTGTCACTTGCCTCACTTTCTGTCCAGCTAAGAGTTCGAAACTTAATTTATCTGATGAATAACTTCTCAGCAAAAATTAGCAGGCAGAATATTAGCAAATTTTTTCATCACATTTGCCTTTGGAACAATTCAGCCAAGCATATCAAGAAAAACCATCTACATTCTATTTCTAATGCCACGAGAAAGGGCATTCTGTCTAAAATCTCCTATTTCATGGCTGAATGTTATAGCTAATCTGAATGTGAAAAATCTCAGAAAAATTCAGACCAGAAGGCAATTACCAGAGTCAACACTGTAAGTATCTTACATGATACTTGCATGACTCCTATGTAAATCTCCTAGGAAACAATTACTTCTCAGTGTGATTATTTCACGTTTATTCAATAAACATGGGATCTCATCTTTCTCTATGTTATATTTGGTTCAACATTTTTGAATAGGTATACCTGAGAAATCCTGGGAATATCCCTAGACTCTAACTGCTCTAACTGTAAAAGAATAAACATTGTGTTGTGAACTTGATTTGATTTTTACTACCAAATGTTATATAATAACTTTTCCACAGAAAAAAAATCTAATGTCTTAAAAACTGTATCATTTGCCTTTTACACACAATCAGTTTTTTCTTCAGGTTGGCTTCTCGCAGAGTCTGAAAAGTGTTAAACAAATATTTTAGAACAAAGTAGAGAGTCATCCATTGAAACATACCTATTTCTCTCCCAGAAAGGGAAGGACAAAACTTACCACCATGGACAGCCATTTTTCTCCCAGAGAAGGGTAGAGACTGGAGGTGGAGCAGACGTTGTCGATTCCCTGCTCCCGAGCTGTTATAAGGTCTCTGTTCCTGAGAGTCTCTTTTGAGACCTCCTGTAAAAAGAAATTGAGGAAGTACAATTAATACATTATAAAATCTCACTTACAGAAGTTGTTCTAATTTCTTACTATCATGTAAGATACTTATAGTGGTGAGTCAGCTGATTGCCTTCTGGTACTTTTCACATTTGTTTTTTAATATTTCAACCTGCAATTCCTTTCTGTCAGCATCTCCTGGCAAAAAAAGTAACAAAAGAATTAGAACTCGTACAGCCAAGATAAATAAGTCGCTTTTGTTTTTAAAATGAAAACAATTAAAATGTTGTTAAGTTAAAATAATACTCACTTTCTGGATCGAGATTTATTTTGTGCTCCAGTTCCTCGTTCTGCTTCAGAAGCTGGACCAGTTCGCTGGCTAAGCTCTTGTTCTCCTCTTCCAACTAAGATGCAGAAATTAAAGGAAGCATGCATCAGTCATCGAATATAGATGCACAGACAAAAAGAGGGGGCTTAAATCAGGATTGTAAGGGAAATGAATGACTTACAGCTCTTATGGTGGCATCTTTTTCAGCCAGTTCCTTCTCCTGTGAGGATGTCACCTCTTCTATCTGCTTCTGTTCTGTATTTTTATGGAAAAACACTTGTGTTGTTAAACAATATTCCCAAAAGACATTACATATTAACCCACAAACAAGACTGAAATTTAAGACTGGTCATTAAATAGGAAGGGTCAGGTGTGGTGCAGAGGGAGGGTTGCCTTTGTATCCCCACTCCTGCCACAGGTTCTCACACAAACAAAAGAGTTGTTTACTCACTTTGTTCCCTTTGGTGGTCTCTGTATTTCTGCAGACAGACCTGCCAAAAGAAGATATGTATTTTGAACACCTGAGGACAAACCAACTGGAGGAAGAGAATTTACTAAGTATTATAAATCATAGTGTGGATACAATCATACTGGCTGCAGGCATATCCAGTTACAATATCCTTTGGCTGCATGCTGACTGTTTGTTCTAAAGCACTTTGCAGTAGTTCTGGCAAAATGCTTTGACCAAAAAGCCACATTTTGAAAAGCAAAGTAACTAAATCAATCTATTATCAGTCTTACATTGTAGCATCATTTACTAGTTTTCAATGGAATTTATATATGTTTCCTCTAAGCAAAATGTTAATACCTGTAGTTGAGACAAAATTCAGATCATTAAAAATAATATCAACCTTGGATATAATTCATATAATTCTTCTATGATACCTCAAAACTGTTATCTGGAAAGAACTATATTAAAATTTTATTTGGATTCTAAATATATATAAATTTCTGGAAATGTTGCTGCTTGGAAATAATCATAGCGCAGGTCAACAAAAATCGCTTGGATTAGTGAAAAGGCTTCATTTTTACCTGCTGTGCCTCTGCATCTTAGAACCTATTAGATACTGTTCTGTAAAGCTAAATCAAGCTAATAGTATAGGAGCTAAAACTAAATTTGTTTGGGATTTTAATTATATCTTTGTTTATTTATGGGGAGGGGGCATGTCTCTATTGAAATCAATGTAAGAGAAAAATAGCTTATTTCCATAGCATACACAATTTGGCAGATTGAATCCATTTTTTAAAGTATATTGTTTCTAACTCTCTACACCAGTGGTGGCGAACCTATGGCATGCATGCCAGAGGCGGCACTCAGAGCCCTCTCTGTTGGCACATGCGCCCCCACTGCCAGAAGCAGCTCCATCAGGCCGCCACTGCCACCCAGAGCAGGACCCCCGCCCAGCAGAAAGGAGGCGAAGTGGCTGACTAGCAACCTCGAGTAAAGGTGATAGAGCAGAGGTCACCAACTATTGTCAATTGGTGGACTGGAAGAAAAGGGAGGGGGAAGCATTTTACATGCATTTATGTGCGCATGGGGCCGCGAGCACACACACGCTGCACATGGGGCAGGGCTAGTGCCTGCATGATACTCACTAGCCCTGCCCCATTCTTGCATGTTGCAGCCTTGTATCTGCACTCTGTGGTGCGGCGGTAGCCGTTTTTGCACCTTGTAGCATGGTGGCCCATTTTTGTGCCCCTGGGTTTTGCGTGCCAGAGGGGGCACTCAGAGGCGCCTCCCTGCCCCCCCCCCAGGGCACCACAATGCTGATGTGGCCCTGGCACTTTGCGATAAATAAGTGGGTTTTGGATTGCAGTTTGGGCACTCGGTGTCTAAAAGGTTCGCCATCACTGCTCTACACAATGGATTAAAAAAAAGTATTTCAAAATGTAATCCTGGAATTTGTTTTCAATTTGCAATGCTGCATCAGGTAAACATGGTGGGGCCCATATGTCAAGGGATCAATGTCCTGGGATTAAGTTTTCCAATAAGCTGATCATTTTTGCTTACTTGCTTTGCCATCTTTCCAGAAGTCAAACTGACTAAAAATCAACCTGACTCCTCATTTATGTTGAACAAAATGTTTCAAGCATTGCCTCACAACCTTTCTTTTTCTTATAAAAACTTATCTCATAATTAGGGCCAAATTTAGTGTTACTAGCTCAGTGTTTCTCAACCGTGAGCACCTGGAGATGTGCAGACTTCAATGCCCAGAATTCATGCTGGCGAGAGAATTCTGGTGGTTGAAATCCACATACAGTGGGGCAAAAAAGTATTTAGTCAGCCACCAATTGTGCAAGTTCTCCCACTTAAAAAGATGAGAGAGGCCTGTAATTTTCATCATAGGTAGACCTCGACTATGAGAGACAAAATGAGAAAACAAATCCAGACAATCACATTGTCTGATTTGGAAAGAATTTATTTGCAAATTATGGTGGAAAATAAGTATTTGGTCAGTATCAAAAGTTCATCTCAATACTTTGTTATATATCCTTTGTTGGCAATGACAGAGGTCAAACTTTTTCTGTAAGTCTTCACAAGGTTGGCACACACTGTTGCTGGTATGTTGGCCCATTCCTCCATGCAGATCTCCTCTAGAGCAGTGATGTTTTGGGGCTGTCGCTGGGCAACACGAACTTTCAACTCCCTCCAAAGGTTTTCTATGGGGTTGAGATCTGGAGACTGGCTAGGCCACTCCAGGACCTTGAAATGCTTCTTACAAAGCCACTCCTTCGTTGCCCGGGCAGTGTATTTGGGATCATTGTCATGCTGAAAGACCCAGCCACGTTTCATCTTCAATGTCCTTGCTGATGAAAGGAGGTTTGCACTCAAAATCTCATGATACATGGCCCCATTCATTCTTTCCTGTACACGGATCAGTTGTCCTGGTCCCTTTGCAGAGAAACAGTTCCAAAGCATGATGTTGCCACCCCATGCATCACAGTAGGTATGGTGTTCTTTGGATGCAACTCAGCATTCTCTCTCCTCCAAACACGACGAGTTGTGTTTCTACCAAACAGTTCTACTTTGGTTTCAAGTGACCATAGGACATTCTCACAATCCTCTTCTGGATCATCCAAATGCTCTCTAGCAAATTTCAGATGGGCCCAGACATGTACTGACTTAAGCAGGGGGACACGTCTGGCACTGCAGGATCTGAGTCCCTGGCGGCGTAGTGTGTTACTGATGGTTGCCTTTGTTACTTAGGTCCCAGCTCTCTGCAGGTCATTCATTAGGTCCCCCCATGTGGTTCTGGGATTTTTGCTCACCGTTCTTGTGATCATGTTGACCCCATGGGGTGAGATCTTGCGTGAAGCCCCAGATCGAGGGAGATTATCAGTGGTTTTGTATGTCTTCCATTTTCTAATTATTGCTCCCACAGTTGATTTCTTCATACAAAGCTGCTTGCCTATTGCAGATTCAGTCTTCCCAGCCTGGTACAGGTCTACAATTTTGTTTCTGGTGTCCTTCGACAGCTCTTTGGTCTTCACCATAGTGGAGTTTGGAGTGTGACTGTTTGAGGTTGTGGACAGGTGTCTTTTATACTGATAACAAGTTCAAACAGGTGCCATTAATACAGGTAATGAGTGGAGGACAGAGGAGCCTCTTAAAGAAGAAGTTACAGGTCTGTGAGAGCCAGAAATCTTGCTTGTTTGTAGGTGACCAAATACTTATTTTCCACCATAATTTGCAAATAAATTCTTTCCAAATCAGGCAATGTGATTGTCTGGATTTGTTTTCTCGTTTTGTCTCTCATAGTTGAGGTCTATCTATGATGACAATTACAGGCCTCTCTCATCTTTTTAAGTGGGAGAACTTGCACAATTGGTGGCTGACTAAATACTTTTTTGCCCCACTGTATCTTCAAGTGGTCAAGGTTGAGAAACACTGTCCTAGTTAGTTTAGACAGGGGCAAATCCAACATCTAAGCCCATGGTCAGGGTCAGGAAGCTCAATGCTAGGCACCAAAATGTATGCGTTCTTCCCAATGATGCTTCCTCCTGCTGCTATGCTAAATAGCCAATGCCTGATGCAGCCCATCAAGAGGGGTGAGACTACTGCCTCTTGAGTAGCTAGGCTGACCTCCATTGCTCCTGCCTCTTCTTCACCCTATGTCAATGATGGCGAACCTTTTAGAGACTGAGTGCCCAAACTGCAACCCAAAACCTACTTATTTATTGCTGGGTGCCGGGTGGGCATGGCCCACTGGGTGGGCATAGCTGCGGTGGTCACGGCAGAGCGGGTGGGTGTGGCCAGGGTGGGTGTGACCACCTCAATGTTGCTTGTGGGAGGGACACCTGTGGGGGCTGGGCAGGGTTGGGGGAGTTCCAGGGGGTCTCTGGCAGATGGGGTGATGGGCAGGGGGCTCATCCTGTGGGGTGAGGCAAGGCGGGGTGGGGGTGCCAATTGCTGCGGAGCAAGGCAACATGAGGCAGGGGCCAGGGCAGCTGCTGCCTGACACCATCAGCCCCCGCAAAGAGAGAGAAACTGAAAAAGAGAAACAGAAAAAGAGAGAGAGAGAGACTATGCTAGCAAGTTTGTTAGAAAGTTGAGGAAAGAGCCACTGAGGACAAGAGGATCTTTTCCGAATACAAGAAAAAGAGATGGCAATGCTGATTTTTAATCAAGTCAGCCCATTCTCTCATAGAACAACTCAGGGTTAAAAGCAATGATCATGAGGATGAAGAGATGCTTCCGAACCCTTTGAATCTAAGTCTACAGCTGCGGCTGGTGGTGGTAAACTCAAACCACCATCAAATTAGCTACCATCACAGTGCAGGCATGTGATGAGCTTGAGGGCAGCTTATTCCAGAAGCAGAAAAGCTTCAGCATTTCAAGATCCATATTCTGCTGAACAATACAATTTCTTTCAATTGAAAGAAAGTTTCACTTCAGCATTCTTCTTCAGAGGTTACAAGCTCATATATAGCTCAAGCTGAACCTGTAGAGCAAAAGCATTTCTCAGTTATAAGTGATGCCAATTCACCTAGAATTCAGGAACAAAAAAAAAATGTTGTCACCTTAGGAACAAAAAAAGCAGGCTCATGGGCTACCATAAATTCAACTAAGAAATAATTACACGGAGAATGAGAGATTAAGCCCAATTTTCAGGCTGTGAGGAACGCTGCAATATTATGATTATAGCGTCATAATTTAAATATCAGCTTTACTGAGGAGATACCAGAGAGATTTTTTTAACTCTTTTATTGTATTTAGCTCACGTCTTCAGTGACACAATTCTATCTGAGTTGCTATTATTATATTTATATTATATATACACATATTTATAGCATCCAATACATAATAACTTGCAAATAAAAATCCTTTGACGTTTGCTAATGTGTCATTAAAACCCAGAGATTTATTTTCTAAAACTTAAAATATTTTCCATAGCACATTATCCTCCTTAAGGATTAGATATTTAATTAAATCATTAATGACCTGTAATTATTCTCACTTGACTTTATGTTCCATTCAAACTTTAAGCTTTTGATACATTGGGTGTGTTAAGATAGATCTGTCCTTTTTAATTGTTAATTGTGCACCTAGGGTCATTTCCTAAGGCAGGGGTCTTCAAACTTGGCCCTTTTATGACTTGTGGACTTCAACTCCCAGAATTCCTCAGCCAGGCACGCTGGCTCACAAAATGGTGTTTGGGAAGGGTGAGCAGAAGCAACTGAAGACAGGAACTTCTCTATCATAGACTCCTTCAATAGCAAACTAGTTTTCCATATAATCTTTAGTTTTCCATGTAATCTTTGGATGTAGGTACAACCAGCTGCTATAGTAAACCACACTTAAAGCAAAATAAAGACGTGAGTCTTACCAACACACAAAAGATACAACTTAATATTTTTGTCACAATATCTGATGCAAATGTGCAAGTCATGTTATTTGTGTCATGAAGTGATGATAGACTTGTTCTTCTCAAGACATTCCATCCTGTTGGAGTGATTTGGCAACCATTGGTCATATGAATGCTTTGAAGTCCCTTTGTCACCCAGGATCTTGTTAGGTATTTTTCCTGGTCTATACACTATCTATTATTATGCAGCTTCCCTAGCTGTGCCAAAACATGTAGTCCTCAACTCACAACCATTCGTTTAGTGACCATTCAAAGTTACAAAGGCTCTGAAAAAAGTGACTCATGACCATTTTTCACACAACCATTGCAGCATCTCCATGGTCATATGATCAACATTCAGATGTTTGGCAAGCAGTTTGTATTTATGATTGTTGCTGTACCCCTGAGGTAATGTGATCCCTTTTTGCAACCTTCCGACAAGCAAAGTCAATGGGAAAGACAGATTCACTTAACAGCCAGGTTACTAACTTAACAGCTGCAGTGATTCACCTACCGTGTTTTCCCGAAAGTAAGGCCTACTCTGAAAATAAGCCCTAGCTTGATTTTTGGGGATGGGCCTAAAATAAGTCCAACCCCAAAAAATAAGCCCTAGTTTGGGGGTGAGGCACACACTTAAAAATCAAGCTAGGGTGGGGTGGGGGGTGTGGATCTGCCCTACGCGCCCTGCACCCACTTACCTTGCAGCTAGGCCTCTCCTTGCCAGCCCACTTCTGAGGTGTCTTCTGCAGCCAGGCCTGCATTTCTCAGTCACAGGCCTTTCTGGAAGGCACTGCAGCCGAGAACTGAGCTATGGATTCAATCCATAGTTTGGTTCTGCAAGACCTCTGCATGCATTTGCAGAATGAAGCTGTTCCTTTAGCCCTAGAAGAAGTGGACCAGCTGGGTGGGGCTGTTGGTGCCAGAGGTGAGTAAGACATCCCCTGAAAATAAGACCTGGTTGCCTCTTCTGGAGACAAAAAAAAAAAAAAGACCCGGTCTTATTTTTGGGGAAACACGAGTAGCAGCTGTGGCAAGAAAGATCATAAAATGGGGAAAAACTCACTTAACAAATGTCTTGCTTAATATAAACTTTGGGCTCAATTGTGGTCATAAATCAAGGACTACCTGTATCAGATTTGAAAACACCCCATGAGAGAAATTCTAAGGATTGATAGATAGGAATCCAAATGGTCTGCAAATTGTGGAGGAAAATAATCCTCATGAACAGCTTTAGATTATTACAATGCAGAGGTACAGGGTCTTCCTTCTCTTTCCAGTGTTTCTCAACCTTGGCCATTTTAAGATATGTGGACTTCAACTCCCAGAATTCCCTAGCCAGCCATGCTGGCTGGGGAATTTTGGGAGTTGAAGTCTACACATCTTAAAATGGCCAAGGTTGAGAAACACTGCAAGACCATCCTATTTATATTTTGTCTAAGTATTATATGGGAGAACACCTAGTAAACATCTTTCTTTCTTTGCCCCACCCCTCTGTTGTTTCTTACCATGATAGCATTTTTATTAATGTAATCCTCCAGCTCTTTGTGAAGGGACAAAGCATAAATGGGAAGATAATTCAATTTTATGCCAGATGAAGACACACACAAAATTATTTATTTTGCTCTGATAGATAACTGACTGCTAAAAAGAATCCATGGCATATCAGGGAGAAAACAACTGGGCTTAGTTTAAATGTTGCTAGAAGACTGCAAACAAATAGCAGAAGTGAAGGCTTCCTTTTGTGAGATATGGAGAATTAATCTCAGATGGATTACCTGATCAGAGGAGCATGTATAGTAAAAAAAATATGTGGGAAGTTGTTCTCCCTTCATAGAGTTAAAGTGTACTTTCCTATCATTGTTTTTATAGTGTAGAAGAATATGAACAAACAGGATACCAATCACTGTAATAAATACTTAAGTAAATATTTTAAACCCAAAAATCCTTTAGTTTCAACTTTTAATATTGATAGCAACAAGATATCAGGGAAGAAAAGCATTTGTTAAAAACTTGAGTTCTTTTAAGTACTATAGGTTTTTTATTTATAGCTCCTTGATGCATCATCTCTCTCTGTGTGTGTGTGTGTGTGAGAGAGAGAGAGAGAGAGAGAGAGAGAGAGAGAGAGAGAGAGTCACATATACATACATATATACACAAATATATATTCCCTTCTCGCCCTTATGTCTTTCTCAATCTCAGGTCTGGGAGTTTGAGGGCTCTGCTTAGGATCTTAACTCTCCCTAGCACTGCACTCTTCTGGACAAAGAGCTCTGAAGTTGTTCCTGGGATCTGGTGGAGCCATTCTCCTTTAGGAGCCCAATTGATCCTGCCACCACCAGGAGAGCAGGAGAGAGACAGAGACAGAGAGAGGGAGGGAGGCAGAGAGAGACAGAGAATATCATATTGTATGTTCAATGGAACCATTAGTTCTATAAAGTGCACTCTCTCTGGTCATTTCTTTTAATTAAATGCTTTCTGTACATATACCAATAAAGGAGAATATTTGCAGCTCAGGGTTGAAATGAAGGGTTCTTGGTACTCTCTAACCTTGGTTGTTTTCTTGCAGATGCAACATCATCAGTGCACTGATGAAGTTACCTAGTTTAGGTAATGAAACGTCTTCAAGAAAACAATCAAGCTCAGAGAGCACCAAGGGCTTTTTATACATTTTTCAACTACAGACACTTGAAAAAGGGCCTTTGGGTTGGTTGGAAATGCATTGGGCCAAACAATCAATATCGCATGGACTGTAAGGACCCACCCCACTTTGCATCTTAAGAAGACAGAACTCTTGGAATAGTTCTTCCAACAGGAATCCTTTATTAAGAGAAAATGGTTGCAGGCATGCTAGACAGGACTTGGGGTCCAAGCTCTCCCATTCAAGGTTTTAAGGGGTTCCCCAGTAGTCCCACCCAATCAACCCCCCTTCCAGTGATGGTTTCAAGTATCACAATTCCACCTCCTTTCTTCTTTCTTCCGTCTGGATGGAGACTTCAGATACTACATGAAAGGCAATTACCCTTCTTTGATATGTTAACGCTTAGAGGTTACAATAAACACACATTCAGCTCTTTGAAGTGTAAAGAAGGAAGTGAGGGCCATAAAGCCCCTTTGCTCTCCCCCTTCTCTCCCTCTTATGGCAGAATCCAGAGAAGGCAGAATTGGGAGTTTCTATATTTGATAATTTAAAGATGAAATATAATTGGATTCTGACATCCGGCCCCTCTTAACAATAAGAGAGATCCACCTGAAAGAAAACGCAAGTAAAAATTTTAGTTAGGCTTGTTAGGATACTCTGTGTGAAACTTCTTCAATAGCTTCGGGGCTCTGACATGACGTTTATGGACCCACTCATTTTGTGAGGGAGGGAGGTGTTTCCAGGCAACTAGGTACTGAGTTGCTCCATGATATCTCCTAGAGTCAAGGACTTCCTTTATTTCGAAGTGTTGTTCACCCTCCACCATGATTGGAGGTGGTGGGGGGGGATTTTTGGCCGTAGAGGTGACTGATGCTCTCTTTTCAGCAAGCTGCAATGAAAAATTGGGTGTATTTGCCTGAGATTTTTGGGTAATTCTAATTCTACTGTTACTGGATTTATGATTCTTTTAATTGGAAAAGGTCCTATGTATTTTGGTCCAAGTTTTTTACAGGGCTGTAGGGACTTTAGGTATTTTGTAGATAAGTACACCATCTCTCCTATAATGAATGGTGTAGGCTCAACCCTTTTTTTATCGGCTTGTGTTTTGTAAGCCTGCCTAGCTTCATCTAGTGCTTTTCTGACTATTGGCCAGGTGTTTTGTAATTTTTCCATCCATTCTTTCAGCGAGGGGATCGTTGGTTCGTTTGGGGTTAATTCTGGCATGGGGTTGAAACTTTGACCGGTGGCTATTTGAAAAGGAGTGTAACCTGTGCTGGAGTGGACTGCATTATTGTAGGCAACTTCTGCAAAGGGGAGTAAGTCCGCCCACTCGGTCTGCTGGAAACTAAGAAAACATCTTAAATATTGCTTAAGTACTGAGTTCATTTTTTCAGCCCCCCCATTTCCTTGAGGGTGGTGGCTAGATGTCAGTCCCTGAGTGGTTCCTAAGAGGGATAAAAATTCCTTCCAAAATGCAGACGTAAATTGCACCCCCCTGTCAGAGATGATGCGTTGGGGTGCCCCATGCAATCTGTAAATGTGTTGGATGAAAAGTTTTGCTAAGGCTTTTGCAGTGGGAATCTTTTGGCAAGGGATAAAGTGCACCTGTTTGGAAAACAAGTCCGTGACCGTCCAGACCACAGTATTCCCATTGCTTTCTGGCAATTCCACTATAAAATCCATGGCTATTTCTCTCCAGGGGGCTGAGGGACTTGCCACTGTTTGCAATAGTCCTGGCACTTTCCCTTGCAACCTCTTTGCCGTGGCACATTTTGGACAACTGGCTATATAACTTTCAATGTCCTTTTTCATGGATGGCCACCAAAATTGCCGTTTAATTAAATGTAAAGTTTTTACAAATCCAAAATGCCCTGCTGATTTTGTGTCATGGCAAAGGTGCATGAAAGTTACTCTTTGAGTTGTTGGTATATATAACTTTTCCCCTATCCAAGGCAACCCGTCTTTCATTGTGCACACATTTTTGTTTTTCTGGAACCAATCATCTGTTTCCAAACTTTTTCTGAATTCAATTCCAGTTTGGCTGTCCAGTTGTGGTTTTAATTTGGCTTGGGTTCTTGTGGTTACTGGTGCTGCCAGTTGTGACTCTGCCATTATTGGTCTAGAGTCTGTGGTTCGTGCGCTGTTATATTGGGGCATGCGAGATAGTGCATCTGCCAGGAAGTTCTTTCTTCCTGGTAAATGTTTGAGCTTAAATTGGAATTGGTGAAAATGCTGGGACCAGCGGGCTTGTTTGGGATTGAGTTTCCTGGAAGTTTTCAGGGCTTCCAAATTTTTGTGATCAGTCCACACCTGGAAGGGGATTTTGTTGCCTTCCAGGAACTGTCGCCATGTGAGTAATGCCCAACGTATCCCATAAGCCTCCTTCTCCCATACAGGCCAGCGCTGTTCTGTTTCCGTGAGTTTCTTGGATGTATATGCACAGGGTTGCAATACTGCATCATCATTTTCTTGTAATAGCACAGCCCCCACTGCCACATCACTTGCATCTGCCTGTATTATGAAGGGTTTGTCCATGTCTGGGTGCCTTAGTACTGGTTCGGCAGAAAAAAGTCTCTTTAGTCTCTCAAACGCTGCTTGGCACTCCATTGTCCATGTTAGTGGCTGGCTAGGTTTTACTGAGGATGTTCCCTTCGTTTTTAGTAAGTTAGTGAGGGGCAAGGCTATCTGTGCAAATGAGGGGATGAATTGGCGGTAAAAATTTGCAAAGCCCAGGAAACTTTGTAGTTGCTTTCTTGTGCGGGGTGGTGCCCAATTCTAATACTGCTTTGACCTTCTCTGGGTCCATTTCAATGCCCTGTGGGGATATGCGATAGCCTAGGTAGTCTATCCTTTCCTGGTGGAATTCGCATTTTGAGAGTTTGGCATATAGGTGAGCGGCTCGCAGCTTCTTTAAAACCGCTCTGACAAGTTTGACGTGTTCTTCTTTTGTTTCGGTAAAGATAAGAATGTCGTCCAAGTAAACAAGGACCCCCTTAAACAGGTGCTCCCTTAGAACGTCATTGATTAGTTGCATAAAGACTGCAGGGCCCCCTTGTAATCCAAATGGCAAGACTTTGAATTGATAGCACCCCATGGGGCAGTTAAATGCAGTCTTC